CCCCCCCCCCCCCCCCCCCCCCTTTGACATGTCGCCCAGGATCCTCACGCTGCTGCTGCAGCCTTGGAGGGCTGCACTCGGCGGTAGCCATGTAACCTCAACGTAACCTTTGAAACACGCTGACGAACTCAGGCCCGTGGTGTCCAGGCTCTGCGCAAGAGACTCAGCGAGTTGTCGGGGATGGGGATCCCTTCCAGGAGCTCGAACGGCGGGAACGGGGAATGCCCCTAAAATGTGTCGTCCCTTCTCAGGAACATGTGCAAGGCTGGCCAGTGGCTGGTGCAGTGAGATCCCGCACGGTGCTCAGCGAGACAGCGCTACGCCGTTGGTTCATCTTGTCGTTTAAGCCGGTGTTGGCTTCGTATCCTAGCTTGGTCCGCAGGGTCGCAGCTGGTTAAGCTGCACGGCTGGTGCAAGGCCTGCAGGATGCTCCTTTTGCAGCTGAGCCTAGTTGTAGAGCGCGGGCGCGAAAACCGGCATGAGGAATGAGGGTTGAGCTTCCTGCGTGTCGCCATTTCTGCAGCCATTCAAGCTGCTCAAAGCAAAAACCCCCCGTTGAGTTGCCAGATTGAGTGATTTACACATCTTCCGCCATGCTGGCGGGTTGCCGTGCTTTCGGGGTGGCGATCCTGACCCTGAGTCTTGGAGCAGGGGCGACTCGGCACGAGCATCCGGCGGCTTTTCTCGGAGTCCGAGGTGCCCAGGAACTCCGAGTGGGGATGGTCCCCAGTGCCATCAGCAGAGCGATTCAGCACGCCCTGAGGGATTCTAGGTCCCACTTGAAGGCCTTGACCGCAGCAGAACAAGCGGTGACTCGACTAGATCCGGCTTTGGTATGCTTTGACCCTCACGCTTTCTCTGCGTCTCAGGCTTTTTCGGCGTTCATTAGCAGTTAGTTCAGTGCTGTCAGAGCTCTCCGCACGCAACCCCCCGAGGCAGCCGAGAAGCAGGCGACGGCCGATGGTGCCTTGGCCAAGAAGGTGGCACTCGAAGAAGACAAGCGCAAGCAGGAGGAAGCCTGCGAGGAGGAGGCCACCAGAATTCTTGTAGGCTTGTCGGCCGGCACCATTCTAGGGTGTGTGTGTGTATATATATATACACACACACACACACACATATATATATATATATATGTTTTTTATTTATTTATATTCGGGCTTAGGGTCCATAGGGTTTAGGGCTCCAAGTTTGGGAGGAGAAGAAGAGCCGGGAGAACAGGATGAAACTCGAGAAGGCAAGCGAAGAGCACGACCTCCACTCGGGGGCTCTCGACAAGGCCCGCGGCTTGTGGAACAAGCTGCTCGTCTCGACTACTGAGGCCTTTCAACTAAGTATCGGTTTTGGAGCTTCTGGCTGAAAAGCAGCTATCAAAGGATCCGGATGCTCTCCCCGACACCTAGCACCCTGAATTTCGCAGCCGAGGTTGAGCGAAGAGCTGGAATTCCTCCGGAAAGGTGGGCCGCACCGGAGATTTCTAGCTGCTAAACTTAAAAGTACCAATGGTATACCCTGGTGATGCTTTCCATAAGTATACTATAACATAGGCCTGAACCCTGCGCAGGTGTGTCGCAGCAAGAGAAGACTCTCATGGAAAGCCTCTATGAGATGGAAACGGCGCTGGATGCCAAGAAGCAGGTCCTTCCGGGTTTCGACTTCGACAGGGCTTGGGTTTAGGAGGGTGTCGGGAAGGTGTTTTGGATGAATTCCATGAGGTGCCAAGCAGACATTGAGATTCGTAAAGAATGTGAGCTTATATGTTCGGTTCTATCTTCTTGTATATTAGGACATGTCCTACGATATCGTTTGATATCGTGGATGGATTTTTTCTAGCTTCCACCTTGAAGTCCGGGAAGCATGCTGCCTTGCTGAAAGCTGCTGCAGCTCCCTGGCACGACGAGGAGCTGGAAGCAAAAGAAAACGAGACTATGGCTGCAGAACAGGACATGAAGGAGAAGGAGGACAAGGCAACCCGTGCTTGTTTGTTTGAGGCAGGCTTGGCTCTACTGGCATGCCACGGAGGCTGAAGAATAGGCAGATCATGGTCAGCTGTTCACGGACGTTTTGATGCGGCATGATGCACTCGGCGGCAAATCCCTGGACCCTGGACCAGAGCACAGCGGAGAACGGTCTGCAGGGTATCGGTGGCATTTGCAAATGCACAAATATTCAGTCGCCTGCCGCAGAAAGCGGTGTACCCGAAGCCAACAACCATAGCGAGAGCCCAGACCCTCAACCCGAAACTGCCGTAAGCTCGAGAGCTTCGTGTAGAGATCCCTCCTCTCATGAGGCCAAGGCTGCCGGAAAAGTGAAGAAGGAGTATGAAGAGCAACTGGTCGAAGCCGAGAAGAGGTCCAAGCAAGCGCAGGAGGCATCGCTCGGTGAGACGGGTTTAGGGCTCAGGGTTTAGGATTCAGGGAGTTTTAGGGTTTATGGCGTTTACAGTTTCTTCAAGGTTCGGAGTTGAGCAGATGTTCGTCGCACTCGCCCTTTGATCGTTTTCATGAGGGACTCGGTCTCGCCGACACTGTGTGACTACGACTACGATACCACGACGTCGACTGCGACCATGTACGACTACTCCTGAAACTCCTCTTCCTCCTACTCTTACTCCTACGTTTACCACGACGACGACAACTAGTACTACGAGGACGACGACGACGCCGGTTTCTGCTACAACCACGATTACTACTCCTACTGCCACTGCTGCGGCTACGGCTACGGCCACGGCCTAGTGCTACGACGACACCACAGCTGCAGTACCGCCACTGCTCCACCTTGTCACGGCGACGGCTACCTTATAGAAGGACGGGTGACAACAATTTCTATGATTTGCCTCGCTCCGGTGCTGCACTGCCGGAGCCATGCCCTGCGACTGGAGGCTCTGCAGGAGATCAGGGCCAAGGCGGAGGAAGCAGTGGACGAGGTCATCAAAGCAGAGATGGAGCAGAAGGAGGCGACTGAGGGAGTCGTAGGATCGCGGTCTTTCTGAAAGGATATACAGCTTCCGAGCACAGCCTTGGTCCACAGAAGCTTCGGAAGATCGAAGCCTCCAGCTCTGAAACGTCCCAGCACCTAGTAGGTTCGAGATCCCAGAACCTTCAAGGGGGGGGGGGGGGGGGGGNNATCTCGAAATCCTGATCTAAGTGATGCGAAGGCCGCCAGTCAGCAAAAGGAAGCACAGGCTCTTCACGACAAAGGGGCCCAGAGACCCTTGGATTTGCAGCCTGTGGGTTTTGTTGGGAGTGCCGTGTGGCTGTGGCGGTGTGGGGGTTTTATGGTGCAGTTTTAGGGATCTTGGGATTGCAAGGCAGCAACAACTTTTCAGGGTGGGGTTGAGAATCCGCTTCTTGCCAGGAGTGAAACACACAACACTTCAGAGCATGAGGGTCTTCTGAGGAGCACTGACATCATGTTGCCACCAAGACCATGAGGTGTTAAAGTTGCACCTTTCATCCGAAACCCTGAACTCTAAACTCTAAACCGTAGCAGTTCCACAGACTGTACACTGCAATGCGGGCTCGTCCTAGCTAGGTGGGAGGCAAAAATCTCTCAACTCTAAACCGTCTGGAAGTGTCCGAGTTGCGAGAGCGTCAACTCTAAACCCTCTGTAGACCGATAAAGCCAAGTGGGTAGTTGTCCCTTTTGGGATCCTTTGTATGAGGGTGTCGTACTATACGGGGGACCTAAACTAATTTAGAGAACTCCCCAAATTGTGATTCTTTCGCACGGCTGTTGTGGATCCCTTCGAGACTCCTAGGTTCAGAGCTGCTTCAGAAGTTGAAAGCTGCGGTGGAGGACAACATATAACATATATGTATGTATCTCGATACATTCTCGTGTTATACGCTATTCTGTTATACATGATTGGTTCTATATATGACTCACTCTACATGATTATACATTTTTGGCTATACATTACATGTTACTTATTATGTATTCGGTTATGCATAAATAAACAAAACATAAAGAAGTAGATGTGTATGTATATAAACTACATATCATAATGCCCCATATTATATCGTGTCATATTGCATTATAACATATTGTAGCATAAGATGATATACTGTATTGTCTCCTCTCATCTCACCTCATCTCTTCTCTTCTCTTCTTATCTGGCATTGTCTTGTCCCATCAGATGTCGTTTCATCGTATGTTATATTGTGTTGTATTAGTATTATGGTATACCATACCACGCCATAGTGCAATATGTTATATGTTGCATGTTGATCTCTCTCTCTTCTCCTTTTTTGATATATATATATATGTATGTATATATATATATAACATACTCTGTGCATGTTACGAGCTTCGTACGGTAAATTACCGCGGCATGCAAACTCTTATGCGGTGCGTGAAACGGGTTTGGCTCTACGTCTTTCGCCTTGTCCGGGAAGCTGTGTTTTTTTGTTCCTTGACCACCTCTTTCGCCTTTTCTGCTTTGTGTTTCCCGCTTTCTGGTTTTTACTCATTGCTTTCCCTGTTTAGTGTTGTCGCTGTTTTGCTTTCGCGGTGTTGCTGTGTTTCCCACTGTCGTTGTTGTGTTTTCCTGCGCTTGCGTGTCTGGCTTGTTTGCATCGGGTCTGCGTTTAAGTTTGTGTTTGATTGTTTCGCTTCTGCTCCGTCCCTCCTTTACGTACGTTCATGTGCAGAGCGCTGGTCAACTTTCACGCTAAGAAACGGTTCATAGCTTGTCGTGGAGACCAAGTGATGACGTGAAAATCTGGTTTCAAGAAATGTCACCGGACCGACCACCATCGCCTAACCGTAGTCGGGGGCGGGTTTTGAGTTTTAACACACGTGACCAACAAGCATCGCCTTATTGAGGTGGCATGTTTAACAAGCTCGATCAGCCACAGTCGCGTGATGACGGCCGTCTCTACGAGTACGTGATCAACCGCCACCGCCTAGTGAGGCCTCAAGCCTAGAACCTGGCGGACCGAGCCAAAGACATCATGCTATCATGAGAGAACTGCGTAATCCGACATGAACCCTGCCCAAACCAGTCAAGCCGAGCGTTGTGTGGCTTTTGTGTTTTTGGGGGTGGGATGCGCGAGGGGTGTGCCTTTAATTACAACAAGACCACCCCGCAATTTGTGTCATGCTATGAAGAACCTCACGTCTCACGTCGTGCAAACGGAGAGTCCCCCAATAGATTGCCACCAAAGAATACCCCGCACTTTCGGATTCCACACTTCCTTGCCGCAAAGCCGGAGCCGAACCTGAAGAAAAGAATCACTTCCACAGTGTGCAGGGCCATGTCTTCCTGCTGTATTTCTATATTAGCAGGAGGCGAGGTCGGTTGGATTCGGATTGGCTGTGACTAAAGGCGAGATGCTGCACGTTGACTTTCCCACCACAACGTCACTCGAATGAACAATGATGTAGCTCCAAGCGGCCCTCACAACCACCAGCGATCACTAGCTGAGCGCTTGAGACGGTGCTGTGGCACTAGCGATTCTTGCGCTAGTGCCGTCGACTTCAGTTGGCCAGGCTGTAAGGGATATGATCGGGTTATGCATGTCTTCCCCGAATGAAGGACTTCTTCAACGCGATCGACGCTCTGGACACGGGCCCTGTGATTGCTTAGCGAGTACGAAGGGTGCTATTCACAAGTGGCTCTCGCTATGTAGGTTGTTATCGGCTGCACAAAAGCGTGGCACATGAAGTGCTCAGTTCCTTTGCTGAGCTGCTTGTCACAATTCGGCAGGAAGCGAGCATGATGAAGAAGATGAGTGCGCAGGGCAACGCCAAGGCACACGAGCTCATCCTCCTTGATGAGAACTTGGAGCCAACTCTCTCGAAGTACAACCTTATGGTGGTGGCATTCGACGATGTGTGGACATATGGCGACGGTTCCTACGCGAAGGTGGAGCCTGCCATCGCACAGATCGTGGAGGATGCCAAGGCTGATTTGGAGCTCATTTGCGACCCAACACGGCAATTCGGAGAGTCCATGGCAGAAAGTCCCGAGTTGGAGGAAAAGTGCTGGACCGCACTTTGGCGTAAGATCGGTATGAATGAAGGTACCTTCCCCGGCGAGAAGGGCGAGGTCCCGGGGAGCGCTGATGTAAAGACGAACAATGAAATGCCCACAGAGGATTCGCAGATCATGGAGAGCCCCAAGGCCAAGCGTGCCGCTACCCTGTCCGGCTCGGGGGAGGAGTCGACCAGTCTCATGCCCGCCATGGAGTCGGCGAAGGAATTGGACATGTACATGGAGACCACGGCCACGTCGACGACAAACGGCGACATCGCCGACCTCCTAGCCAAGGATTCCATGACTCCCGAAAGCCCGGCGAAGAGCATGGAAGTAAGTGCAGCCACAACAACGACGATTGGAGATGTCGCAGACCTCCTCGCCGAGGATTCTCTCTCACCTGCCAAAACCATGGAAATCAGTGCGGAGACCAGCACATCAACCACGCTTGGCAATCTTGACGATCTCCTAGCCGAGGATTCAATTTCGCCCAAGAGCCCGGCGAAGGCCATGGAATC